CTTTGGCCATTCTTCCAAGTGTCTAATGGTATCATGTGGTTGTAATTTGCCATTTCCTGATGAGTAGTGAGGTTGAGCTCTTTTCATGTTTGCTGACCATACCTTTTCTTGTGAAGTAGAAATCCTGTATGTAATTTCTCCTCTAAATATCTTGTGTAGCTTGTGTTTTCCTATACACCAAGAAACAAGGCAGAGACCAGTGTGCCTGGGATAGGCATGTCTGTTGAGCAGTGTCAGTGAGCAAACTGCAGGGCTATCGGGATCAGATGATGGTCTTTTCTTAAGAAAGCTCAAACGGCAGCAGGGAGTACAAGGGGGGAAAGGGCTGACTGCTCAGAGGCAGGGCAGGGAGGCGTCTGAAAGGTGCAGGGAGGAAGACTTCAATCCTGGGGAAAGGAGACAAAGTCCAGGAAGAATACATTTCTCCCTTCCCTTTCTTCCTGACTCAATTTTTGACACTTACCCTGAAAAAGACCTCTGCTTTATAGCTTCTGAGTTTGGAAAAAGTGAGACCAATCATGTTGCAGAGCTGGGAGGTCCTCTAGTCACATGGAAGCCTGCATATGAGCATCCTCCCATCTGGCATCCTAATCCTCGGCACCTCCCTTCCCTCCCAAACCTGATTGCGGATTTCATGAGGCGGGAGCCACAGCTGTCTGAACCATCTCTGCATCTGGCATTTAGCAGATCTAAATCAATGTGGCGTGAATGAAGGCCAGCCATTTATTGAAGAGGAGGAAGAGGACAGAAATAACATGGAAGAGAACTGGATACTGAGGTCGGGTACTCTGATGGCTGCTTTATACAAACCACCACTTACCCCAATACAGCTGGCAGGTTAGTCCTAAATCCCTATTTCAAATATAAGGAAACTGAGGCTAGAGAATGTAACAACATGCTCAGGGTCACAAGGCTGCTACATGATTGCGGTAGAACTAAACTGAGGTCTACTGGACCCCAAAGCCTACTTGTCCCTATCACCCTCCTCACCCCCATGGTTGACCACAGAAGACAAGGCCTTGGCCAGCCACAGTGGTCAACTCCATGGGCCCTTAGGGTCTCCTTCAGAGCCACCCAAGGTTTCTATAGAATACAATAACGTGAGCTGGTTCTAAAGAGGCACAAGTCACCCTTAGCTCCATGATGGCTGAATCCAGGCAATATGTGGGTGAATCCCACTCCTAGTTCTTTTGCTTCCTGCAGAAAATTACAAAGTGGCAGCTGAGCAAAGGCTCTGGAGCCAGGGGTGCCGTGGAAGCAGAGGTAAGATGGCGAAGGGTTCAGCAGCCATGACTCACGACAGCACAGGCAGTCAAGGGTTTCACCTTCCTGGCCCATAAGCCCATATGGCAGATGCACCTGAATTTGTGTCTGGAGTTCTGAGCTAAGGAATCTGGGAGTGGCCAACTCGGAGAACCATTCCTTATCTATGAAAAACATCTGAACCTTCAGCCCTTGTGAAGTAGTGAAGTGAAAATCCATGGAACATAGCTGTACAGGGCACTGAGGCCCTTTGTTTTGGGTTAAATCAAGCTTGTCCAACCCACAGGCCACAGGCTGCATGCAGCCCGGGATGGCTTTGAATGCAGCCCAACATAAAGTCATAACTTTCTTAAAACATTATGAGACTTTTTTTGTGATTTTTAAAAAAATCTCATCAGCCATCATTAGTGTTAGCCCAAGACAATTCTCCTTCCAGTGTGGCCCAGGGAAGCCAAAAGATTGGCCACCCCTGGATTAAATGAAGGCTGCCAGGTGGAAGCTGTTAGGGAGAGTGAAATGCCATGGAAACTGCATGCTCTCTGTGAGTAGTGGTTCACTGGCTCAGCCGGCCCCAGGGCCTTGTGGTTCTCCTGTTCATTCTACTGCCACTGGACTGTCCCTGTATGTAACTTTTAACTGCCACTGTATGTAACTAATAAAACCCTGTGTCTCATTTTCTGGGTCTGGGGCTCTTCTTTGACCTCTCAAACATGGTACCATCCCTACTGAAGTTAATAGGGGTCCTGCGGGCAGATACCCACAGAAACGGACAATGGCCTTGTTCTGTGACACTGTCAGATGTGCAGAAATACCTGGGGAGTGCATGGCCCCAGCCCACTGGATACTGCAAGACCATCAGAGAAAAGCCTGATGTAGCCCAGAGAGAAGGCTTCCCCATCCCAGAGAGTAGGTGTTGGGGTCAGGTCACCTTTGATGATAAAAATCCATCTCAGTATGCACACATGCTCATCCATTAGTCCAAACCTGAAGCACTATGACATGAAATAGAACCCCAGTATTGCTGTACGCCAGGGATGGAGCCAGCACCTGCCCAGCACACATCAACACTTTTACAGGCATTACTTCCCTTAGTCCTCCCATTAACTCCTGGCAGAAAGCATTAACGTCTCCATTTTACAGACGGAGAAACCAAGCTGAAAGGAGGCACAGTGACTGAATTGCTGCATGGGAGCCAAGACTCCTGGGCCCTGGTGCCCATGCTCCATCAGCTGCACCATACTCAATGCCCAGGCTGCTTCTTCAGGTGCTGTACAAGGCCCTCACAAGGCCCATGTGTCCTCAACAGCTCACTGCTTTCTGTGGGGAAAGGGAAACAATATTCATCGCTTAGATCTTGCAGCATGCCTTTGAGGAACAATTACTCAGAAATATTATAAAGCACAGGAGCCCTACAAAATGAGATTTCCATTCTCAAGAATAATCATTAAGGAAATAAATAGTACAGACAAAAGGGTCCAGAATTCTCTTCCTCCTTGAAAATGAGTCTGGATTTTGTGCAGGCTTTTCTTACCTGCCAGTCTCAACAGGTAGAAGGTGGGGGCTGACCAGCCTCCATGGGTGGACGGCAGCAGGATTCCAGCCAGCCTCTGGGATACACCACGGCTCAGCCAAGAGCCCCAGCCCTCAGCCTCCCCATATCAACCTGTTCTCACCCAGAACTGTCCTCTGAGCTGTTCTGGGTGGTCAACGATGATGCTGCAGCTTATCCAACTTTCCCCCGAACAGGTTTTTACTGTCAAAGTAAACTTAAAGGAAATGGGGGGAAAAAGGAAAGGGATGTGATGACTGGAAGGTCCTGGAGCCATGTGTACAGAAGCTGGAAATGTCAAGGTCTGCAAGTATTCAACAAATGAAAGTGGAATTGTATAAAAGCAACAGCTAATAAAAAAAGATTGTCAGATGCTGTGTTTTCCGTCTTCCCAGCCATTACAGGAATAAAATTATCCGAGGAGAAGATCGAAAACCTTTTTCAAAACTAATACAATTAAGCCTCATTCTTCTGCCTCCTTTCTACCTCTCCCCCGGCTCTCCTTTAATCCTCCTATCTCCCACACCAATCTCCATTTCCTGAGATGTTGGAGGTGCTTTCCTCTTTTTTTTTTTTTTTTTTTAATATTATCACCAGCAAAATGCTGTATTTAAGAATCAGAAAGGAGATCATGCTTTTGCACCTCCTTCTGGAAGCATTTAGTAACACTTCACAATCATCTAAGAAACCTCGATTTTTAAAAAGCCCACTCCTATATATGTAAGGACTTTGGACTTCACTTAGATGAGAAAGAAGTCTCATCTAGAATTTCCTCTCCTTCAGTAGGAAGAGACTTGGTTTCTAGGAGAACTAGGGTAGAGATGAGAGAGGAGAATGACAAGGGGAAAACAGATTTTAGAAAGGCAAAAATGCTGTGAGACTCTTTCCCTGCCATCCTCTAGCAGCTAAGTCCAGAGACGGAAACATGGGGAGCACAGAGAAGACCAAAGAATTACACAAATAACAAAAAAAAAAACCCCAAAATTAAAAAACCCTGTGCCTATGAACATATGGGCAACTGTGATAATTAGAGCTATGGCTGGTGGAATCTTTTTTACCCTTTTCTGGGATCTCAAATCACAATCCTTGTCATTATAAGCTACAGTCAAACCTGTGCGTGAGGCTGCTCTATGAAAGATTTGCTTGTTAAGGGCCACTTAGAAAGCGGTTCAGAGGTGCACTGCCGATCCTCAGACTGTGGGATGTCACCATCAGCACTCTGTGTTCATGGCACGTCAACTCCGGCCATCCCCTAAGCACCGGCAAAGGTGGACAAGCAGGCGTTCATGGAGCATGGAAGACTCTCCCTCATTTCGACACTGCCTGGAAATCCAGAAACCCACATTTCTGCCAGGCTCCACTGTGGCATGCCACAGGAGAAAACCCCCGTGGAAATCAGGCCCCTCAAGCAAACTGTCAATTTCAAAGCTCCAAACCGTGACAAATGATTTGCGAAGATTTGCCTACAATAGCTGATGGCTCAGGTTGCTTGGCATGCTGTCTCAGGCAGGAGGGAGAACAATTTTCTTTTTTAACCTCCCAACCATCCCCTCCCACGTTTTAAGCCATTTCTTTGAAAAATCTGTCATGATCCACAAATTAAACCAAAAAATAAAGTAAGCAAGTTACCAAATGAATTTTCAAGAGTCATTGTAGGCTTTTTTTTTTTTAAGGCATGATGATGTGTCTTTAAATCTCATTTATCTCAAAGGCTTATCTTTAGAAAAGCAGTGAGTGTACTTTGATCTTCCCGACTCCCAGGAGAAAATCAATAATACAACTTTAATGTATTTGTATAGCAAGACATCACGTTATTATTATTTTTACCAAATGCAGCTTAACTAAAGTAGAAAAGGTATACTGGGACTCAGCATCGCCCTGTGGTGAAAGTGAATTTTTTTCTAAAACTGAACTACTGTAAAGCCAGCCATATTAAAAAAAAAAAAAAAAAAGGTGCGGGGGGAGACAATTAAAAACCAATTATCTTCTTGAATGCAACTTGTTGAAAGGCTCCATTTGGGTGCCCGCTGCAGAATGCAGGAGGGCATGTCCAAGGAGTGATTGGCATTTGGGCAAATGGGTACTGGGCCTGCGGGCTTCTTGCCCCAGCCCCCAATGATGGTGGTGTGTTCTGGTCAGATGCCTTTAGGACCTGGCCCCAAGAAATGCAGCCAAGCAGCAGTCTTACCTTCTTCTCAATACGCCCCAGCTGCTCCTTGTAGAAGGTGTCACGGCGTCTTAGCTCTGCCTCTCTGCTCTCCAGCTCCCTGGCCTGCTTGGAAGAGAACAAAGCCCACATTAGCCAGCAGCAATGGTGCTGGACTGGTGCTGCAGGGAGAAGGCAAATGACACTTCTGCTCACATTCATAATAAGAACAGTAGCAAGAATGAGTTGAAATCCTTATGATCTGCCAGATCATTCACATATATTGTGCTAAATTTTCACAACAAGCCTTTGAGATGGGTAGCCTTTTTGCAGATGATAAACCATAACATTTATAATTACGGGAGTCCTGTTCACAGTGCTCCTACAGTTATTTCCCTTGATCCTTACCACACTTGTAAAAGGCAGGTGGCATCATCATGATACCCCCATTACAGATGAACAGCCAGACAACACCTGGGGGCCTACGTAACTGTCTCGCAGGGCTTTTCAAAGTGTGTGCCGCTGAAGCTGCTCATAATGCTGGAGACTGAAACTTGGTCAATTCAGGTGGGAATTGACCCACCTGGCTGCGGGGTGGGCTGCCGTGAGCTACATATATGCTGGCCTTGGTGTCTTTATGCTTGGAACCACACCATGCCACAGCCTCATGGGCGGAGATCCATGCCTGCAGGAAGGGAGGCACAGAGTCAGCTGGAAGGTCACTGCTCCCTCACCCGCCTGATGGGGATGGCTGAGTCCCTGTTGGAGCACAGGGCCAAGGTCCTTCCCTCCAGGTCCAGTTAGACTGAGGGCTCAGCTCACCAGGGCAAGTGACCTGAGGCAGACCTGCAGTTGAACCCAGCCCACCCTTAACTAGCTAGGCAACCTTGAACAAGTTCCTGACCTCCAGCTTCCTCAGGTATGATGTGTAAAGCTGGAAGGGATGCATAGCTATACAGAAGGTTAAAGGAAACCCCAACAGATATGGGCACTACCTCAACAGGCCTCCAGAAGGTGTCACCAGCACATGGCAGGGCAGGAATGTAAGTCCCCTCACTGGAATACTCATGTCCCCAGAGTCTCCTGGGGCTTCCCAGGACCAGGCCCCAATACCTACCTCTACCTCCTCGGACCAACTGTGGAACAACTTCACACTGAGGGTCAGGGTGGACACAGTCACAGGGGCCTGGGAGCTCAGGACTACCGTTTTTGACTGTATAGGGGAATAACACCATCTGCTCGCTGTCTGTCCCTGTGCTAGGGCTGAGTGTACTCAGGCACTCTGCTAGGCTCCTGATGGCACTTAATCCTCACCACCCCCAGGAGTACAAGCTACCCAGCGACTAGGCTAGACTGTGAACCTAAGTTCATACGACTTCCAAGTCCTGAGCTTTTTCCTTTTAAGCCACAATATGGTATCAGCACATAGGTTTGAATCATTCAAAAGTACAGGGTAAGATAGGAACCCATGCTTTTGAAAGTCCATCTCCCTGACAATGCTATTCCTGCTGGCATGGAACCTTGCAGAACCACCAGCAGGGAAGTCTGTAACAAGAGCTGACCACCCAGCAGTGCCCCTGAGTGTAGAGCAGGAGAAAAACTCAGGAGAAAGGACCATGCCAGGCCAGTGGGCCTGGGTGGCTGGCTAACCCCTGAGAGTCAAGTTCTAATACGGCCTCTATCACTGAGTGGCCTCTAGGAAGCCTAAGCAAGATGCTATCTTGTCTGTCTTCCCTTTACCTGTAGAAGGGAGAAGTAGTAACCTGGATCCCCAGGCAGCTGCAGAGGATCTAAAAATGCCAGGAAGGCTTCTGGCATGCCTCTGGAATGCCAATCCTTCAGAAAAGCTAAATACAAACAGTGGGACTGAATGCCAGGAATTTCTCGCAGGGCTTTTCAAAGTGTGCTGCTGAAGCTGTGTCCCAGGAATGCAAGCACGGCTAATCTGTGCTGGGCCTCTCAGCAGCCCAGCACTTAACTGTTACCAATCCCTGGTGCCATCAGAGGAGAAGCTCGTCTGATGCAATTAAGCAGCCAGTACAAGAAAGTCTCTGAGGGCTCTGGACCTGACATTTTTTGACCAGCAGTCCCAGCCAAGCAGGAAGATGACATCTGAAGGCAAAACCATCATAAGGCTCTTCACCTGCCATTCTCCAGGGTCAAGTAAAGCAGCAGAGACAAGGAGGTGCATCCACACATCCACCACCATCCCACTGACACACTATGATGTCTCCTCTGGGCTGAGGCTACCAGAATGTTCATACCAAAGCTTCCAGAGCCTGTGCCAGTAGGATGTCGACGTGAGGAATGGGAGGCAGAACTCAAGTGTTAGGTGAAGGTGCCTAACCATCAGCACCTCCTCAGGCTAGAGACTGTTCATACAACAGGAAGAAACAGGACATCAAGGCCTACTTTTCTATTCATGTCCAATGCAACACAATTGAGCAGTTAAGAATGAAATGAACTGTTTAGAGAGGGATGAGGCTGTGCCTCCCATTTGAATGAAAACTCCACTATGTGCACCATATCCCCAACACCTTGACTTTGTCACAAGTGAGCCAGAAGGGTGGCGAGCTCACTACCTCTGATTCATTCACTACAAAGCACTGCCCACCAGCTCTGCTCATCTCTGAGATTTAGAATGCAATCCCAATGACTGACAATGGACAGGAAGTGACACAAAAAATGGCTGTAGAAACTGAATATGACACAAACGCCTGTGTGTCAGAGCCTGGCCCAGAGCAGGTACTCAATGACCTGGCTGTGACGTATGGAAGAGCACATCGGGCAGCACCCGCCACTCCACACAGCTGCCCAGCAGTCTCAAAGTGGCTTCCTAGCTAGCACTCATGAGAGGCCACACAGCATGCAACACAACTGTGGTTTCAGTGTCTGAGTGTGTCACTTACCAGAACACCATGAAAGACCTCCATGTGACAGATAGCATCGTAAAGGTACTGAGGACACAACAGGAAAGCCAGAGAGAGTTTCTGCTATCATGAAGCTTAGATCCCAGTGGGAGACACAAATGTGTGTGCAGATAAATAATTTCAGAGATGTGCCAGGGAAACCATAAGACAGACTCACTTGTAGGGTTAACGGGTTGCTATTTTCCCTAAGGAGATTTCTGAGAAAGTCTTCAGGGGAAAAAAATATGGAATTAAGAATCTTGTCTCTAATACAAAAGTAAAATATCACCATTGTGAACATGTACTTAGCAGATGACAGTCTTTGAATAGAGAATTGAGAGAATCTGCATGATTTAGTCAAGGACCTCCCCAGTCAAGATGACACAGTGAGTTCACACTTTGGTGCCTCTACCCTACTCTAAACACATAGCATTGGCAGATAAAATACAGAACAGATGATCAAAAAGACATGGACAGGTTCAAAAACAAGATTAAAGTATCCAACACAGAACAGAAATGCAAAGCAGTGGGTGGGGCTGAAGCATAGGCCTGCTGGCTCCAGGTCTGGAGCAGGCAGAGGCAGTCAGGACCCCTCCTTATCCTTCAGGGTCAGAATAAACTACCTCCACACAAGTGGGGGCCTGAAGCCAGGCTGGCCACCTTCAGTTGAGGGATCTCCCTAAAATAAGAAGCTGATATAAAAAATGTCTGAAGACCTCCACTGAGGGCTGGGGTTTTCAGTTTGCTTAAACCTAGAAAGCCCAGAGGGTACAGATCCAGCCCCTGAACCACAAATATACCTACTGACTCAGTTCCTGGCTCTGCAATATCATTAGGACCACTGCAGAGACAGGCCTCAGAAGGCCAAAATCAGACCTGGTCCCGCACTGGGGTCATGTGTAGATGACGATAGAAATATTGAACTTTCTACTCCAAATGAACCTGCAAACTGAATCTCAAATATGTGACAAAATATAATTTCTAAAAAGGCTACCAATAAAAGCAATAACTGAAATACCAATTCACTCCGGATGACATTGATTTTATAGGACAATATGACAAAGGATTCAAAAAATTTCTGTTATGCAAAAATTTAAAGAAGACAGAAGAATACAACAAAATCCCAGATAGCCATCAGCAAGCTTCAACAATTAGAAACTAAAGAGATCTTCTTTCATCTCTACCCTCCACTTTCTCCACCCCCAAGTTTCTTACAGATCGCTTCAGCTACATATGCTTCAATACACTGCTCTAAAAAATAAGGACTTTTATTTTCCAAAACAGAACCGTAGTACTACTGCACATCAAAAGTAATTTAACACGGATTCCTTAACATCATCAGATATCCAGTCAGCATTACAATCTCCAAATCATAAAGAATTTTAAATATGCATATTTAAGTTGCTCAAAAAGATAAAACAAAGTAACTTCTGATTTACAAAAAAGAAATTATGAACCTGAAATAGGCTAACCCACAAATAGGTAAAGATGATACATTTAAAAATCTGCAAAATAAAAAATGAAATGGATAAGACAAACTCTAAGCTGAGGAGAGCAAAGGAAAAATTATCAAAGTAAAATGAAGTACAGAGATTTGAGCGAGAATGTAGCAATGGAAGACAAAGATAAAAAGTCGGGAGGGCTTGAGTCCAGGAACTGGAGACCAGACTGGGCAACAAAGCAAGACTCCATCTCAACAAAAAATAAAAATAAAAAGTTAGCTGGCTATGGTGGTACATACCTGCTACTTGGGAGGAGGATCTTTTGTGCCCAGGAGTTTGAGGCTGTGTTGAGTTACAATCGCACCACTGCACTCCAGCCTGGGCAACAGAGTAAGACTCTGTCTTAAAAATAAAAAATAAAAAATAACTAAAGATAAAAAGTCTGGTAAAAGCTAAGAACTGTGGAAGATGGACTGATGGTCCAGAATATACTGTTTCAGAAAATGATCAAGGACGGACAGGAGAGGAGAAGGGGGTAAAAGAGGGGAAGGAAGACAGAAGTTGGGGTAAAAGAGGGCAAGGAGGGCAGAAGCCAGAGTAGAAGGCAGGTTAGAGGACAGGATGTGGGTGAGGTAAGAGAGAAAGACTCTGGTGAGGGTTGAGTGAGGAGGAGTGAGAGGGAGGAGGGAAGGGAAAGGGAGAGGATGGTAAACAGAAAAGATCTAATAGAATTATAGAAATAAGTATAAATAAATTGGTTACCACAAAAAGCACATGA